CTGGATCAACAGCCAGGCATCTCGATCACGACTCAAGGACTCGTCAGCGACTGAGATCAACCCAGATCGAGGTAGAGCGAAGAAGTTCCGCGCTACCTCTACCCCCTGCATTCACCCCTCATCGGATATACATCGAACGAGTCACCCAGGAGAGCGTAACCCGCCCGCCGTCGGGTACACAAGGTGAGCAAGACACAAGCCAGGTCCATCGGAGGACCCCCTTCGTTAGTCGGTGTCCGGGCGCAAGTGGTATCGGGAACCGCGATCACAAGATTTTCACGGATTCCGCTTCGCCACATCTACTACCCGGAGAATCTCGTGGTCACTGGAAGCATCATTCGCCAGGAAAATGGTTTCGTCAATCGAAGATCACAGGCAAGATCCACAATGAGAAAGCGATCTTACTCTTAGATACCGGCGCCTAGGTGTCCATCGTGGACACCGCCTTTGCTCGTAAGGTTGGGTACTATATCGACTCGAGTCAGATCCAGGACTGGGTGGGAATTGGGGACATTGTGTACCGGACAGTAGGAAGAACCCGGATCGAGGTGACCCTCACTGGATCACTCGTAAATTTCTTCGATATCTGGGTTGGCGATCTGACTGGCCAACAAGGTATACTTGGTATGGACGTCATGGTTCCAGCCAGGATCCGCCTGGATTTAGCTCATGGATCGATCAGTCTGCCGGATGAAGTCCGGATCCAGCTTAGCGGGAGACGGCAGTTTTATAGCGACAAGGCAAAGATCGTAAACGTTGGTCAATACTTTTGCATCCAAGCAGGAGAGTCGGTGGAACTGCCATTGCGCCTGAGGTCGTCGATCCACGACAAGCTGTGGATCACGCGTGGGGATCGATGGGTGCCGACAATATCCGATGGGCCAGGGAGACGAAGTATATATCGATAACCAACATCGGGGACGAGGTGTTGATCCTGCATCAAGACCAACGGATCGGGATCTGGCTCGCCGGAGAACATTTGCCACGAATACCAGGCTTCATCTCGATCATCTCTCGTTGTTATATGTAGTAGCAGAATCTGGCGTTGGAAGCCACGACAGACACTCGATCCGAAGAAATGAAGGTCAAGATCCCGCTCGTACCCGCGGTGGAGCGATCCGAGCACGAAATTCCGCCTGCAATACTCCAGAGACCGAAGACCAGTGTCGGAAGGTCGAGGCGAGTCAGGATCAAGATATTCCTGACTGCCTACCATCGGACAACTCCCCGTCAGACAAGTCGCCGTCGGAGATTCGACCGTTGGATCTAGCGTCTGTCGCAAGTAAGGAGTCGGATCTGTCGTCTATAGAAGAAGAAGATCTTATATCGCATGCAGTAACGGTCAAGGACGCGCTGGGAGATCTCGATCAAGTGACGTCAGACGGGTGGGCGACTAACCCGTCGTTGGTGGAAACCACAGGCGTAGTGGAAACGCAGAAGAATGCCGAGATGGAATTAGGGTCGCCAACCAGGATCGACTACATTCGAGAGGTCAGGATCAAGGAACATCACCGTCGAAGTGCGGTGGATCTGATCCGTCATCAATGATGAGTGTACAATCTGGGACGGGACATGTGGCCAGTAATCCGTTGAACGACAAGTGCGTCGCATCTATGTCGCAAAAACGGACATAGATCCATCACCTGTTGTTGAAGAGCAACCAGGCGCATCGGATCTGGAGCTCACCTGGGACTCAGATCAAAATTATGATGAATGTATATAAACCATGAAGGAAGTGATCTGTACGCGGAAGATGTAGACGATCAGATGGTGGTACTACCAGAAGTGCCTGTGACGACGGAAAATGTGAAGATCGAGGCCATTCAGCTATGCGGAACTGATAACCAGACCCCACAAGAAATTGACCGACTTCGCCAAAGGATCAGGAAGTTCCGACACCTCCTGAACGGCGAAGGAAATGCCCTTCCGCCGGCGGCCAGAGGTGTTGTATGCGATATCGATGTCGGAGGAGCGAGGCCTATCGCTCTAAAGTGTCGTAAGTTGCGGATCCAGTTCAGGGAGAAGCTGGTAGACTTCATCAAGGGTCTGGAATATCTGCCAAGATGATCAATTACTCTAGATCACCATGGGCTTCCCCGATCGTGGTGATCATCAAGAAGAATGAAGTGGATATCAGGCTGTGCATCGATTACCGGTTGGTTAACAGTCTAACTCAGCTGATGATCTACCCAATGCCCTTGATCAACGACTTGAAAATCTGGAGTCAACACTCTGGCACTGTTCTTTGGATATTGCGATTGGATTTTGGGTAGAAATGACGGATCGTGCTCGTTTGATCTCGGCTTTTATCACCCCGTTTGGGTTATTTGAGTGGAATCGAATGCCTTTTGGTTTGAAGAATGCGCCCAGATCTATCAACGTATGATCGACAACGCGCTATATGGATTCACCCGGATCTCGAAGTCTGAAAATCACGGAAGTACTCTGGATGTGTTTGAAGATGGGGAACGGGTAGATCCAGGCAAGCCATCGATGCTTGATCGCAAATCATATATCGAGCACATCCTGATCCCCGCCAATAACTGGGATTAACTATATGATCGAGTCGAAGGTTTACTCGAGGCGTGTGATGAGTGGGATTTGTCGATCAGTGTCGTTAAGAGTTTCTGGGGAATGCCTAATGTGGAATATCTCGGGCATAGGGTCTCGCACAATGGACTGGAGGCAAATCCGAAAGATCTGTCTGCATTGACGGATCTGGCATCTCCAGGATCACGCAGAGCTATACAGTCATTATTGGGAAGTCTGAACTACTATAGCCTATTTATCGAAGGCTACGCGATCTACGCGTCGGTTCTGTACGAATTGCGAGAAATCGGCTTTGTTGCGATGATGAAGGAGGCTACCCAAGCGCGATCCAACAAGTACTGGAAGCGGAGAACGTGAAACAAGGATCGCAGGAAGATCAGGGTGTCGACCACCGAAATACCTTGAATCTAGAAGCGCCAGATCCTACTGAGGTGGATCCGCGTTGGATCCATGCCCATCGGTCCTTCAGTGTGCTTAAAACGAGAATCGCTACAGCTCCGATCTTACAGCACTTTGACCCAGATCGGAAGGCCACCGTTGTGGTGTATGCTAGCGATTGGGCCATTTCGGGATCATTGATGCAGGAATAAGACCAGATCTACTACCCCGTGATGTTTGCGAGCCGCAATCTGAAGTCGAATGAGCTAAACTATGGCGTCGCGGAGAAGGAGGTATTAGCCTTTCTGAGGTTCCTGGATCTTAACTACAATGCACTGGTCGGACACCCGATCCACGTGTTGACCCGACACTCAACATTGGCGTGGTCCTTCAGATCCACAGCCCTGCAGGGACGTCTGGGACAGTAGGCTGCTCTGTTGTCGCCCTGGACTCTGGAGATTACCAAATGTGTCAAAGGAGAGGACGAGATCTTAGGATCATTGGCCGCCAGTATTACCCCTAGATCCGAAGTGGATAAGGCATTGATCTCTTTTGCCCCAACAAAGGA